TTTAAGCATATTGGCTAGTTGTAGTGAGAATCCTGATAATACCAGCTGCGATGCATCCCTTCAGTCATCATAATACGAATATAGTACTATGGACTAAGTCCTCCAGTGTGTGGAGTACTTAAGAACTGTTGAATCCTGCCTTACATCAGTAATCAAATTTTAGATGAGGTTTGGATTCAATGTTGTAACTGGGTGCCTATACGGTTCTAGTCCTACAAAAGCACACCTTTGATTACATGAAGCATGTTGCACCAGATAAATAAGGTAAGACTGAAGACAGGAAACTATAAGCTGGTTAAGCCTGACTTTGCTCATTGATAAGATTTTAGAGTCCATTATTAAGGATGAGATTGCAGAGTCCTTGGAAGTGCACGGTAAAATAGGGCTGAGTCAAGGAGAGGTATTGCCTGACATATCAGTCGGAATAAAAACCGAAAGAACTGCGGATGCTGTAAATCAGGAACAAAAACAAAGTTGCTGGAAAAGCTCAGCAGGTCTGGCAGCATCAGTGAAGTTAAAGACAGAGTTAACATTTCGGGTCCGGTGACGGTTCCTCAGAACGGACCCAAAATATTAACTCTGTTTTTTCCTTCACAGATGCTGCCAAATCTGTCAGAATCTTTGAAGAGGTAACCAGCAAGTTAGATAAAGGACAACCAATAGATGTGACCTATTTGGATTTTCAGAAGTCCTTTTGACAACATGTCACCCAGGAGGCTGCTAAATACGATAACAGCCCACGCAGGGAGGTCATGTTGCAGCTGTACAGGCCATTCTTTAGGCCACTATTGAAATACTGTGTGCAAAGGTTCAGAAAAGATTTACGAGGATGTTGTCAGGGTTGCAGGGTTTGAGCTATAGGGAGAGGCTGAGTAGGCTGGAGCTATTTTCCCTGGACCATCGGAGGCTGAGGGGTGACCTTATGGAGGTTTATAAAATCATGAGGAGCATGGATAGGGTCGATGGGCAAGGTCTGTATCCCAGGATGGGGGAATCCAAAACCAGAAGGCATCGGTTTAAGGTGTGAGGGGAAAGATTTAAAAGGGGCGTAAGGAGCAACTTTATCACGCAGAGGGCAGTGCATATATGGAATGAGTTGCCGGAGGAAGTAGTGGAGGCTGGTACGATTACAACATTTAAAAGGCATTTGCTTGAGTATATGAATAGGGTTTAAGAAGGATATGGGCCAAATGCTAGTAAATGGCAGTAGATTAATTTAGGATATGTGGTCAGCATGGACAAGTTGGACTGAAGGGTCTGTTTCTGTGCTGTACAGCTCTATGGCTCTATAACTCTCAAGTTACTGGCACGGTAGAGGATTGGCTGACTGGCAGAAGGCAGAGAGTAAAGGTTTTTTTTTCAGGTTGGCAGTTGGTGACTACTGGAGTTCCGCAGGGGCTCATGTTAGGACCACAACAATTCACGTTATATATTAAGATGTGGATGAAGGAACTGAGGGCATTGTTCTAAGTTTGCAGATGATACAAAGATAGGTATAGGTAGTGTTGAGGATGTGGGGAGGCTGCAGAAGGATTTGGACAGGCTAGGAGAGTGGGCAAATGGAATACAATGTGGGAAAGTGACAGGCTATGCACTAGTTCAGGATTCTCTTCAGGTTAACATGCAGGTTCAGTTGGCAGTTAGGAAGGTAAATGCAATGCTAGCATTCATTTCATGAGGGCTGGAATACAAGAGTAGAGATGTACTGTATTAGGCTCTGGTCAGACACTATTTGAAATACTGTGAGCAGTTTTGGGCCCTGTCTCTAAGGAAGGATGAGCTGGCTTTGGAGGGCGTCCACAGGAGGTTTACAAAAATGATGCCAGGATGAAGGGCTTGTCATATCAGTAGCGGTTGAGGACTCCAGATCTGTATGTGATGGAGTTTAGAAGGATGGGGGAATCTTATTGAAACTTACACAATACTGAGAAGCCTGGATACAGTGGACGTGGAGAAGACATTTCCTTTCGTAGGAAAGATTAGCGCCCGAAGGCATAGCCTCAGTGTAGAGGGATGACCCTACAGAACTGAAATGATAAGGAATTTCTTCGGTCAGAGGGTGGTGAATCTGTGGAGCCAAGTCATTGGGTGTATTTAAGATAGAGATAGATAAGAGAATGAGGTTGAGAAACATATCAGCCACGATCAAATGGCAGGACAGACTCAAATGGGCTGAATGACCTAATTCTGCTCCTATGTCTTGCAGTCTTACAATTACTAAAAAGAATAACATACAATACAAATAATTTACCTTTCTAGATATTCATTCAGAATCTCTTCAACTGCAGAAGAATATAGCCATTCATTCCCAACTTTCTTTGTGTAACCAGGTACTTCTTCATTCTTCTTATTGAACTTCAGATTCAGGCCCACATTTATTTTCTGTTCTCCAAGAGGACTGGTAAAATGAAGGTATTAAATGGATTATACCAAGTAGTATTTATACATTGCAATTGCAGCCTAAGGATTCACTTCAAATTTAATTGGTTTTGGTATGAGTCTCTGGATGAAGACAGATCCTTGGCACATTGATGACATTTCATTCTCAGGCACTTTATTGGCAGTTCTTGTCAGAAACCACTGCCTCCCATTCTCAGGGGCAGGGTGAGGGGACAGGTCCAAAATTGCTCACAGCTGGAACAAGAGTTGAATCTACATTGTTAACATTACTCTGAACGGCATGCTAGCTATGAAGCCACCTGAGCTAACCAACACCCAAAACTCAATTAACTATATTTATAAATGCAGCTGAGAGTCCCATCATGCATTGCAATTTCTTCAAAATAATTTGTGAGTAGAATCCTGTGTTTTAACTGTCTCCTTATACTTCTTTCACAGAACACACTGACGATTACACACCTTTCAGTAAACCTTCCAAGCTCATTTATTACCAGCTCTGGCTATGACCTGTGTCTTCAGCAGAATAGGCTCACCAGAAGTGGTGACCAGCAGTATAAAGTCAGGAAGGAGTGGCCCTGAGTGTCGTTGACATGAACTCTAAATCCCAGGACATCTCCTGGCATCAGGTCAAACAGGGACATGAAAACCTCCTGCTGGTCACCACCTACCACCTCCACTCAGCTCCTTCATATGGAACGACACCCATTAGAAAAAATAGAAGGTACGAACTTTGGGTAGTCTTGTAGAATAGAGAGACCCAGGGGTGCAGGTACATAATTCTTTGAAGTTTGCGTCACATATAGGCAAGATGGTTAAAAAGGTGTTTGGCACGCTTGCCTTCGTTGCTCAGTCATTTGAGCATCAGAGTTGGGATGTCATGTTGAGGTTGTACAGAACATTGGCGAGGCCTATTCTGGGATACTGTGGCCGGTTCTGGTCCCCAGTTATAGGAAGGATATTATTAAACTGTAGAGGGTTCAGAAGAGATTTACCAGGATGTTGCCAGGTGTGGAAGTTTTGAGTTATAAAGAAAGGCTGGGTAGGCTGGGACTTTTCTCACTGGAGCGTACGAGGTTGAGAGGTGACCTGACAGAAGTTTATAAAATAATGAAAGGTATAGATAAAGTTAATGGTAGTTGTCTTTTCCCTAGAATGGGGGATTTCAAGACTAGGAGGCACATTTAAGGTGAGTGGAGAGAGATTCAAAAAAGACATGAGGCAAATGTTTAACACAGAGGGTGGTTCGCGTGTGGAATGAACTTCCTGGCAAAGTGGTGGTTGCAACTACAATTACAAGTTATAATGACATTTGGATAGATACATGAATAGGAAAAGTTTGGAGGGACATGGGCCAGGAGTAGGCAGGTGGGACTGGTTTAGTTTGGGGTTAAGTTTGGCATGGACTGGGTGGACCGAAGGGTCTGTTTCCATGCTGTACGACTCTAAGACGCTACAAGAGCACACATTGTACTCTGGCTCGGAGATTCAACATCCATAAAGATTGGCCTGAACTAAATTAGCCTTGCCGTGAAGTACATTGCGCCATCATGGGCGTGTGGCAGGTGATGAGAGAACCAACCTCTTGGGCATCTTCCTCACCAATCTACCCGTCACAATTTATCTGTCCATGACATTATTGGCAAGAATGACCATCTCCACAAAGACTCTGCAGTGAAGTTAGCTCAGTTGGCTGAATGGCTGGTTTGCATTGTAGGATGATGCCAACAGAATGGGTTCAATTCCTGCATTGGTTGATGGTACTGTGAAGAATTCACCTTCTCAATCTTTCCCCTCGCCTCAGGTTAAGTCACCACCGATCCTCCCTCTCTCCAATAACAGAGCAGTGCTATGGTCTGGTAAGACTATGGCGACTCTTCTTCTTTCAGAAGAGGCTCTCCATCTTGATGCGTGCCCCTACTACCATACTAAGTGGAAGAGAATTCAGCAGCTCAAAACTAGGAATCTTTTAGAGGTGTTGCGGACCATCGCCAGCAGCAGAAGAGGTGTTGCAGACCTTCGCAAGCAGCAGAAGAGGTGTTGCGGACCATCGCCAGCAGCTGAAGGGGTGTTGTGGACCATCGCCAGCAGCTGAAGGGGTGTTGTGGACCATCGTCAACAGCAGAATTGTATTCAACCACAACCCATAATCTCACAGTCAAGCACTTTCCCTCACTCTACCGTTGCCACCAATCCAGGAACGAACTTTGTGTAGAGTGGAAGAACATGCCAGAACCAAGCATTGCTAACAATGAGGTGACCACCTGAGGTTTCTCAGAACCAAAGCATACCAAAACTGCCGAAAGATTATTCCACAGACAAGGCTTAAGTGATCCCGAAAGCAACTGATCAGATTAAAGCTCTGCAGTATTGAAATACTGTTCAAAATGGCATTGAGATTGACGAAACAGGAGGTGGTTCTGTGAATACAACATGCAATACAAAAACAACAGAAAGCACATAGGAAGTATCAAAGAAGGCATGCTTACTTTTGCTTTGATCCTCTCCCAATAAACAAACTTCCTGTTAACCTTGACACAAGATACCCAGTAACTCCAAGTCGACTGGCCAAAACATAACCAGGGTTATATTTTGTGGAATATTTCTGAAACAATTGCAAAATAAAATACTCTTAGACATGAAATGGCTGGGTCAAAAAGGAATTAATCAATTTTATTTTCCATTTTGCAAATACTTGAAATAAAGAGTCATGCTTCAAGTTGCAAGAATGATTAGAATAAAATCAAGGAAATGATTGAAGAATTAGTACATGGACAATGTGTTTAGATGTTTAATCGGAGTGGTACAGTCTCCATGTTAATGGGAACAAATAGGAAGATACAGCAGGCAGTCAAGAGAGTGAATGGTATGCTGGTTTCACAGGAAGAGGATTCGAGTATAGGAGCAGGGATGTCTTATTGCAGTTGTACAGGGTCTTGGTGAGATCACACTTGGAGTACCATGTACAGGTTTGGTCTCCTTTTCTGAGGAAGGATGATGTGGCTATTGAGTGAGTGCAACAGAGGTTTACCAAACTGATTCTTGGGATGGCAAGGCTGATGTTTGAATCGAGACAGGTTCAGTTCGGAGTATCTTCAGTGGAGTTTAGTAGAAGGAAGGGGACTCACATAGATAAACTTACAAAAGGACTAAACAGGCTAATGCAGGAAGAATGTTCCCAATGAAATCCAGAATCAGGGTTCACAGTCTAATGCAAGGGTAACTGATTTAGGACTGAGATGAGGAGAAAATTCTTCACCCAGAGAGTGGTGAGACAGTGGAATTCTCTACCATAGAAGTGGTTGAGGCCAAAAAATTAAATGTTTTTAAGAAGGAAACAGATACATTTCTGAGGGCTAAAGGGGTCAAAAGGTTGGGGGAGAAAGCAGGAACAGGGAACTGTACTGGACGATCAGCCATGGTCATAATGAATGGTGGAGGAGGCTTGAAGGGCCAAATGGCCTACTCCTATTTGTATTTTCTACGCTTCTTTCTCATAGCTGTCTTTTGGTCCGGGTGAAGCATGATTGTCTCTTGCAAACTTTTGTGCAAATTTACATATGCTTACAATGGAACTGTGCAACTTTTAAACAACAAAATAAACGAGCAAGACCTCAGATGAAATCCAAAAGCCATTAAATCCCATTGTGGGAAAGAATTTTCCGCATTTTAACTGTCACATCTATGAGGTTACCATAGCTGAGCAGAAATTTTGAGTCGAACAACTTTGCAAAAAGACATTATATTGATAGTGGACTATACTGACAGTCTGCAAATTAACATCTTGTACTTACGTGCTGGTTTTGTATGATACCATCTAGCTGTGGCTCCAAAGGAACAGTGAAAACCACACGGATTCGGCCATCTTTCACAACATCAGAAGAGTCTTGAACCTATCAAGATATTCAAGCTATATCTTCACGTGCAATTTTAGATTCAGAATATATCACAAGCATGTTCTTACCGTGATGTGTCTCATTTTACAGGCTTACAATCCACGTAAAAAAAATGGTTATAATTGGTAATTGTCATAGACGGAAGATAAAAAGGTTGCATTTAAAACTAATACAATGTGCATCAAATTAATTACTTCCTGAGATGCCGTCACTGCTCTAGAGTGAAACAGTAGTCAATTCAATCACAGCAAGATCCTACAAATAGCAACATGAGAAATGATGAGTAAAATCTGTTCAGGTAGTGTTGGGCAAAAGATTTGAAAGATATCACTCTACAATAATACAGCAGCACTGTTTCACCTTTGATTATGTATCCAAGTCTTGGAATGGAGGTTATACCTCAATCATTTCACTCAGGTGAAAATCTTACTACCTGACCAAACTAGCATAGAACTGAAAATAAATTCACTCATGTTCAAAGCAGAATGTCAGGTGGCTTTGTTGAAAGCATTTTTGTTTTGGAGTAAAAACATTGCAAGCACATCATAGCATACCAATGTATTTTAGTGAACACTGTGCTGTCAGTGACACCAACCTACTAATGAGACATGAAACTCAATCACAAATTCCTGCCCAAATGAATGAAGACCGCTTAGCACACTCTACACTCAGTGGACTGGGTTTTGTTGTGTACGGTATTGCTGTCACATGAGCCTATCCAAGTCAATGTCATGACACTTCAAAAGTAATTCATTCTAAGTGAGATGTTTATGTAATAATGTCCCAAACATTCAGAAGTTGTTCCCATCTGCTTGTTCATGTACAAACTCAATTTTGTCAATCCATGTAACGCTAATACAGAGTACAAACTATTCATGCATAATTGTTACTAAATAGACTGGCATATTACGATTGGAGTCCATTGCTGAAATACAGTCCCACTGGTAAGGATTCTATATCAATACCTTGCTGACATGATAACAATTCACACAAGTTCTTCAGTGAACACTGCCAGGCTCTATTTACAAGGAGACACCATGCTGGTCAATATCCTTTTCCCCAGCATCATTCCACAGAGTTTCAACACAGTTATCAGGAACCAGAGATGAATGCCCCCTCATCCCAGCCCCCACTCCTATATTCCAAAAATGAAAACCAAAAGAAGTGTAAATCAGAAACAAAAACAGAAATTGCTGCAAAAGCTCACCAGATCTGGCAGCATTCGTGGAGAGAAATCAGAGGTCGTCTGAGGAAGGATCACTCAACCCAAAACATTAACGCTGATTTCTCTCCACCGGTGCTACCAGACCTGCGGAGCTTTCCAAAAATTTTTGTTTTTGATTCCAAAAGCGGATTTACCTTCTGCTGCACATATGCAAGTGCTCCACTCAAGATCAAAAGGGTGGCAATTGAAAGTACGGCCTCTCAGGGTTTTGAGACTCAGTTATTCAGACTTGGGGGTCTGTTTAGCTCAGTCGGCTGAATGGATACACAGAGTGATGCCAACAGCATGGGTTCACTTCCTGCACCAGCTCACAAACTGAAGTTTCAATGAAGGACTCTGCTTCTCAACCTCTCCCTTTGCCTGAGATGTGGTGACCCTCAGGTTAAACTGCCACCAGCTGTCTCTCTCAAATGAGACTTTTATTCACCCTGTATACCCACTGAAGCACTGAAAGAAGAAAGTAATGATTTTTTTGAAATTAAAAACTAGCAAGCTTAATCATGGAACTTTCAAACAACTAGTAAATTTCTCAAGTATTCAAGGTTTTTGAGAAGATTTGTAGCTCGGGTTGTTGACTTACTCGCTGAGCTGGTAAGTTTGTTTGCAGATGTTTCGTCACCATACTAGGTAACATCATCAGAGCACCTCCGGTGAAACGTCAGTGTTCTGTCCTGCTTGCTATTTGTGTGTCTCGGTTTGCTGGGGTGGGTGGCATCACTTCCAGATTTACTTCTTAGGTGGTTGGTGTATGGGGTCCAGCTCTATGTGTTTGTTAATAGAGTTCCGGTTTGAGTGTCAGGCCTGCAGAAATTCTTGTGCATGTCTTTGCTTGGTTTGTCCTAGGATGGCTCATGGCCCTCAGACCCATAGTCTCACTTCCAGCTACACCAACATACAGACTAGTGAAAGAACTACAAAGGAGACTGAAACACTTAGTAGATGGCTCAAACCACTCGATCCACTCTGCCCAAGAATTCCTCAACATCATCAAGGACACCAGGATAGATGAGGACAACAGCGTGGTCTCTTTACACATGACTGCACTACTTACCTCCATAAACATCCCCCCTAGCTAAGGAAACACTATCCTGACTACTAGACAGACCAGGGATACAGACACCCGACAACACTAACACCATCAGTAAAAACACCTTCGAACTACTGGATCTGTGCCTCACAACCCACTTCACCTTCAACAGCAAGGTATATGGACATATCAACGGAACACCCATGCATCACCGATATCAGGATTAGTAGCAGAAGCCATAATGCAGCCCTTCCCCCCATCCAACCAAAACTATGGATCTGCTATGTGGATGATACCTTTGCCATTATCAAACACTCTAAACTGGAGGAAACCCATCTACTCATGAACAACATCTTCACCAGCATAAAATTCACCAGGGAAAAGAAGAATAACAACAGACTTCCCTCCCTGGACATAATGGGTTGAATGTTAGGCCAATGGTGAGCTCCAGGCCAGCGCACACAGAAAGGCTACCTGTACAGATCAGGTACTCAACTACAATAGCAATCATCCCAATACCCACAAACAGAGCTGCATCAAAGCTCTGTTCAAGTGAGCCGCAACACACTGCAGCATCTTGGAGCTGCGCAAACCCAAGGAAGGACACCTATACAGCGTCTTTAGAAACAACAGTTACCTGAAAAGCGTAGTCCACCGATACCTACACAACAGACCACAACAGGAAGGCACAACACGCCCAGAGACATTAGTCACCCTTCCATACATTAAGAACATATCAGAAATGACCACCAGATTACTCCACCCTCTAGGAATCATGGTAGCCCACAAACCGACAGCTACGCTACGACAGCTACTGAAAAGAATAAAGGATCCGACAACCACAACTAACAGAATCAACATTATTTACAAGATACCATGCAAAGATGGCCCAATACAATACATAGGGCAAACCGAAAGGAAACTAGCCATCAGGATTCATGAACACCAACTAGCTACCAAGAGACATGACCAACTATCACTCATTTCAATACACATGGACAAAGAGGGACACCAATTCGACTGGGACAACGTAGCCATCCTAGGACAAGCCAACCAAAGACATGTACGAGAATTCCTGGAGGCCCGGCACTCAAACTGGAAACCAATTAACAAACATGTAGAGCCGGACCCCATATACCAACCACTAAGAAGCAAATCCAGAAGTGATGCCACCCACCCCAAGAAGCAGAGACACATAAATAGCAAGCAGCAGAACACCAATGCTTCACCGGAGGCGCACTGATGATGTTACTTAGTATGATGACAAAACATCGGCAAACAAACTTACCAGCTTTACGATCAACTCAACAACCACTTCTCAAAGTATGTACATCTTCATTATAACTACAAATACTCCACAGAATTTTAGAATTCCTGTTTCAAAATGAACTGACCTCGCCCATGCAGCCATAGTAGGGTGTTCCCATCATGAAGACCTTAATTCTGGGTGGAAACAATTCATCCAATGAACTGAAGTGAGAGAAACTGGAATCAAATGATTTAAGGTTCTGAAAAAAAGATGTTAATTTAGAGATTATTAAATCACTTTCAAACAATTCATAATTTTCACAATCAGAATTACAATCCATCAATTAAACATAAGGAGCAGGCCATACGACCCCTCAAACCTAATCCACTATTCAGTATGATCATGGCCTCCTACTCTATCACCATATCCCTTCATTCCGTTAATGCTCAATGATCTATCAATGTCTGTCTTGAAAATGCTCTGCAACTGAACATTCACAGATCTTTGCACTAGAGAATCCAAAGATTCAACCCTCTGAATAAAGAGGTGAATGCACATCTCAGTCTGAAATGGTCAACTTTCCTACCCTGTGATTATGATTCCAGGTTCTGGAAATGAGTTATCTCTAATAATTCTACATGTTAAATTTTGGCCCAATCTTTACAATCCAATGAACCATTGTTGCACTAATCCAAAAAGAACATTCCACAGGTAAGAGGCCAGAACTATATACAATAGTCCATGTAGTCTTGCCAAAGCCTCAGTTAATTGCAGTAAGCCTTTCTAACTTTTAATCTCCAAATTCCTTGCAATAAAAATATCATTTGTCTTTCTGTGTTAGAGAGCACATCCAAATCACTTTGAATACAAACATTCACCAGTTTTCCATTCTTTAAGAAATATTCCATTTTTCCAATTTCACTCTGTCGACCCCAACTGTCACATTCTTTCCCAGTCATCTGAATCATCTCTTTCTCCTTGTAGCTTCTTTATATGCTCCTTACAACTTACGCTCCCACCTAGCTTTGGGTCTTGACTATATTATAATATCTCCCTTCATTTAAGTAATTTATATGTAAGTTATTTTATCTACAACAACTAATTCCAATTTATTGATTCAGCTTTTTGTATTCTCTGCATTTACCATCATATGACCATCTCCTAAAACTCTCAGACGTAGGTCATCAGAAACTGAAATGTGTCAGATTTTAGTCCTAAAAACTTCACTAAAATGAATTACTGTAAAGTTTCTCTTTCAGTAGATCTATGGTTCCTCAATTTCTGCGTTTTGTGTGTCTTTTCCTGTGACACAGAACAAAGTATCTGCTGAACATAGAAAATTAGAAACTAGGAGGAGCAGGCCATTCAGTCCTTTCACCATACTCCAAAATTCAATATGATCATGGTTGAGTCTGTATCTCAATGCCACATACCCACTTTCTCTCCAAAGCTAAATACCTTTAATATTTAAAACCTATCTCTTTTCTTGAATAAACTTAATGACCCAGCCTCCATAGCTCGTTCTGGTAGTAAATTCCACAGATTGACCATTCTCTGAGGGAAGAAATTTTTCCTCATCTCAGTTCTAAATGGCCTCCTCTGTATTCTAAAACCATGACCCCTGGTTCTCGACTGTCCAAGCAGGGGAAACATCCTCCATGCATCTAGTCTATGTCCAGTCCTATGAGAATTTATATACCTCAATCAGATATCCTCTCATCCTTCTAGTGAATACAGTCCCAGTTGAACTAGTCCTTCCTCAAAGGGCAATTCTACAACCCCAGCATCAGCCTTGTGAACTTCCATTGCATTCCCTCTCTTGCAAGTACATCCATTCTTAAGTAGGGAGACCAATACTGCATACAGTAATCCAGGTACAATCTCACTAAAGCTCTGTTTAACTACAGCAGAACATCCTACTTCCGAACACTCATCCTCTTACAAGGAAGGCCAATATACCATTTGCCACCCTAACTGTTAACCCAGATTCCTCTGTCTATTCATATTTCCCAAGATGTCACCATTTAAATGCCTGTTTTTCACACTGAAACTTATCATTTCACATTTAACCGCGTTATACTGCATCTGCTATGTGTTAGGCCACAAATTCTGCAATTTTCTTATTCCCCAATATAATTTCTCTACCTCGGCCTCTCGGACAGTCAAGTTGTCTTTTGCTATCCTTTCTGCTTGCATACTTGCAGACGGTCTTGAAATCTGCTTTAATATTTTTCAATAGTTTAGATTCAACTTCTAATTTCTCCTTCCTGGTCAATTTAGTTACCCTTTGATTTAAAAAAAACTCCCCTACCTTCAAGTTTACAACTTGTTTGCTAACTTTGGAAGCCGCTTCTTTTAATCTAACACAATTTTTAACTTCTCCAGGAAGCCATGTTGTACACAGTAAGATAAATTATACTTAAAGAACCAATAACACCACAGCAGGGCGTTAAAACACCACACTGACAAACAAAGCAAAATATTATTTGATTAGCAGCACTGAGCTCTTTATTTTTGAATCCGTACCCTCACAATGGTCTGGTGAGCAAATGGTAGTACTTGCTTTGACCATTCCTTCTCTAAGGTAACGTCACCATTATGGCCAAATACGTATCGACGCCCAGTGAGAAGCTGTGCATACACAAGCACCGACGTTTCATTGATGAGGATTCCTTTCCTTTTATGGTAACTGAAAAGTTTTTTTTTGAAAAGACATGGATTTAAAAATCTTCAAAAAAATAGTAAATAAATTTAGCTGGTTTGGATAGAGGCCTTAAGAGAAAGAAATTTAATTAATCAATCATTCCCACACAGCAGTGTTGCTGCGATACTAAAACAATGTACACAAATCACCATGGCACATATTTACGTAGCAAGTTTTATAATCAGTGTATTAGTTTATTTGGCTATTCAAAAGATAATAGATTTAATCATTTTAAATGAGAGCACATTCCAAGTGAACTTTTAAACATAATCTGCATGTCTGCTTTTACTGTTTATCCCCTTATTGGAAGCATCAAAGTGGAAGTACTCTACATGCCTTCTCAATAGCTTGTTTTATCTCACATTACATACTGTGCATCATTTTACTCAAAAAGATGTTTTCTACAGCTATGTTAAAAGAGATATGCAGTGCCACCAGTACTCCAATTTTGATCTGAGGAAGGGTCACTAGACCCAAATCATTAACTCTGATCTTCTCTTCACAGACACTGCCAGTCCTGCTGAGCTTTTCGAGCAACTACTGTTTTTGTGTCTTCAATAAACTAAGTTAATGTGCATTTTGTAAACAACTGTAATGTCGCTCAGCTCCTGCTGGTGGAGACAAAGGGTTAGAATTCTGCATCCTCTACACATGGAATTTACACAAAATTTCACAGTGCAGAAACAGGCCATTTGGCCCAACAGGTCTATGCTCCTGCCTAAGCTTCCTCCCACTTGACCTCATTTCAACCTATCAATACTTAACCATTTTACTAACTTTCGGTTGAGAAAGTGCTTCCGAGTCCAATTTATCATTATACCTGCCCATGCTGCATTCTGCCATCCCAACCAAACACTGCACTGAATGACAGTGATTTCCCCCATTGCACAAACAGTGCTTCTGATGACAGTGATCCCCCATGAATAAGGAGAGAATAAAGTGAAAGTAAGGGTAATGTGAAAAAGGGGACATTCTACTTATTTGGTTCTTACTGGTAAGCTTTATCTTTTTCTGAGCTACATTGCTTCTCTTTGTAAACTTTACGGTTATAATGCATGTCTTTAAATAATAAGAAATATAATCTGACGTGCATATATTTACTTACAACTCAGTTATGTTATGTACTTCTTTGTGCCACATGTTTTGTTCAGTGTCTCCAAAGTAAACTACTTTAGTAGGTGGCGGAGTTTTCTCAGTGTATACTTTCTGAACACCTGCAGGTTCTTCTAAATAATATCTATAAAATCAGTCAGATAAACAGGGTTAGCTCAGTTGGCTGGATAGCTGGCTTGCAATGCAAAGTCATGTCAAAAAGCATGGGGTCAATTCCCACACCAGTTGAGGCTACCATGAAGGACTCTACTATTCAACCTCTCCCCTCACCCAAGGCATGGTGATCCCCAGGTTAAACCACCACCAGGCATCTCTCTCTCTCCTTCTAACAAGACAGCAGCCCTATGGTCAGCTAGGGCTATGGCAACTTTACTCTTAGCTCCAATTCTTGAGAGTTCGTCCAAAGAAACATTTTCTGGGAAACACATTATCATGTGCTAAAACAACAATATTGACATTCCAAAAAGTCTGATTGTGCTGCAGTCACACAGATGTGGACCAATTGTAAAGACACAGCAGTTTCTTCTGGTCAATGGAGACAATAAGGACTGCAGATGCTGGAAGCCAGAGTCTATAGGTATGAGACTGGAAAAGCACAGCAGGTCAGACAACATCAGAGGAGCAGGAAAGTAAATGTTTCAGGTTGAAACACTTTGTCAGGACTTGGGAGGAGGAGGGGAACCCAGAAATAATTAGAGGGACAGGGTAGGGCTGGGGCAAGGGTAGGAGAGATGCTGATAGGTAGATGCATATAGGGGGTTATTGTGATTGGTCAGTGGGAAGGATGTAGCGGATAGATGAGTAGGAGGATGGACAGGTTAGGTCAGGTGGAGGGCTGGACATGAGATAAGGCTTGGGGTGGAGGGATTTTGAAGCTGGTGAAGTCAACATTGAGGCCATTGGGCTGTAAGCTAGCTTCAGGGCAGAGGAAACAACCGGGGTGAGTGCAGTGGGAGAGAGACTCACTGAGCTCTCTTCGGAGGGAGGAGGAAAACTTCTTTAAGGTGGGCATCCTTAGAAGAGATTTTACAGTGTTGGTTTTCAATGACTTGGAGACAATGAGGACTGCAGATGCTGGAAGCCAGAGTCTATAAGTGTGAGGTTCCCAGCCTCACACCAACAGACTCTATCTTCTGGTCAATGTTTGTTTTGCCAATACTTAAAGCCAAAAAATAGCTCACTGAACCACAGATGAACATAACAAATTTTAAAAGGAGAGTTTTTGTTCATTTTGTTGTTGAAATGCTCTTCCAAGCTTTTGTGAAGTTAGGAACCAGTGGTTGGTTATTCCACCATGATGCAATGAACTATTTGGAGTTTTCGAATTTTAATATTACAATTAAAACCAAACTACAAAAATTGTCTTAAACAACCTAGGAGATCATAAGACCATAAACTACAGGAGCAGCATTAGACTATTCGGCCCATCAAGTCTGATCCACGATATGCTCATGGCTGTCTCTTAGCCCCATTCACCTGCCTTCTCCCTGGAAGCCTTGATCCCCTTACCAATCAAGAACCTATCTATCTCTGTCTTAAACACACTCCATGTCTCGGCCTCCATCGCCGTCTGCAGCAAAGAGCTCCCCAAATTCACTACCCTCTGGCACACGAAATTCCTCCTTATTTAATTTCTAAAGGGTCATCCTTTCGCTTGGGTCCCAGTCTCTCCTATTAGAGGAAATATCTTCTCCATGTCCACTCTATCCACACCTCTCAGTATTCTGTAAGCTTCAATTAGATCCCCCCCTTCATCTTTCTAAACCCCATCATGTATAGACCCAAGTCCTCAACTGCTCCTCATGTGACAAGCCCTTCATTCCTTGGGATCATTGTAGTAAACCTCATCTGGACTCTCCAATGCCAACCTATCCTTTCTTAGATACGGGGCCCAAAACTACTCACAATATTCCAAGTGCAGTCTGATCACCGCCTTATACAGCCCTCGATGTGCAGGTGCCAGTGTTGGACTGGGGTGGAAAAAGTCAGAACACCTCAGCGGTCAAGGACATTTGGTCTCGGATCTTTGGGTAAATGTCCTCCAAGGCGGACTTCGGGATACACAACAACGCAGAGTCACCGAGCAGAGGCTGATAGCCAAGTTCGGTCCCCACGAGGACGGCCTCAACCAGGGTCTTGGGTTCACGTTGCACTACAGGTGACCCCACCACACTTATACCCCTGTCACCCTCACGCACATGCACACACACTCAACCGCACGCTCTCCCTCGCGCGCATACTCTTTCTCCCCCCTTTCTCACTCTCTCACACACACGCACGCACACTGTCTCTACCCCCTCTCTCTCACTCACATTCACACACACACTCTCTCTACCCCTTCTCTCTCTCTCACACACACACATACACACTCTCTCTAGCCCATCTCTCTCACACACTCTGTACCCCCCCCTCACCCCCACACACACCCCACTCTCTCTCTCACACTCTCACACACACTCTCTCTGTCACACACACACACTCTCCCTCACCTCCTCTCTCACACACACACTCTCTCACCCCCTCACACCTACCTCACTCCTACCAAAGTGCCTAAATTCACATTTTCCCACATTGTATTCATCTGCCACATCTTTGTCCACTCTCCTTGCCTGTCCAAGTCCTTCTGCAGCCTACCTGCTTCAACACAACCTGCCCCTTCAGCTATCTATGTGTCAATTGAAAATGTAGCAACAACATTCTCAGTTTCTTTGTCCAGATTTTTAATGTATAACATGTACAGTTGTGGTTCCAAAACTGACCCCTGTGGGACTTCACTAGTCATTGGCTGCCATCCTGAAAAAAAGCCCTTTATGCCTATTCTCTGCCTTCTGCCACTTAGCCAATCTTCTTTCCGTGCCAGTACCTTGGCCCCTAACACCATGGGCCCTTATCTTAGCAAAAAAACATCTAAAGAACTGCAGATGCTGGAAAAACTCAGCAGGTCTAGCAGCATGTGGGGAGAATGTAAGGTTGTTTTGAGTCCAGTGACCCTTCTCTAGAACCGATGGTAGCTAGGTTGATATCTCTGTTCCGATGTTGCCAACTTCAACAAGGGGTCTCCAAAATGTCCACCTTCTTCCTCAACTGAGGATTCCTTACCACCGCGATTGACTGGGCCCTCAGCTGGGTCTGAACAGTCTCCCGCACTTTACCCCCTCTCTCCCCTCCCACAACGATAGGCTCACCCCCTTGTCCTCACCCACCATCCCAACAGCATCCACATCCAAAGGATCATTAAGTGCCATTTCTGCCACTTCCAGCTGGATGCCACCAGCAGACACGTTCCCCTCACTTCCTCATCAGCCTCCCGCAAGGACCATTCCTTCTAGGACAACATAGTCCACTCCTCCTCTTCCAACACCTCCCCATGTCACAGCAGAATGTGTAACACCTGTCTGTTACTGCCTCCCTCCTCAATACTCAAGATCCCAGACACACCTTCCAGGTGAAGCAGTGCTTTACCTGTACTTCACTCAATCTAGTCTACTATATTCACTGCCATAATGTGGTTTCCTCTACATTACGGAGATGAAGCACAGACTGGGCAATCGCTTTGCAGAACACCTATGTTCTGTCTGTAAAAACGACCCTGAGCTTTTGTTGCCTGCCATTTCGACACACCACCATGTTCCTGGCCAACATCTCTCTCTTTGGCTTGCTACAGTGCTCGAGAGAAATTCAGCGCAAGCTGCAAAAACAGAACCTTACTTTCCACTTGGGAACTCTGCAACCTTCTGGACTCAATATCAAATTCAATAATTTTGGGGCCGGAGCACCTTGTCCCATCTCCTTACCCCAACCCTCACATACCAGGCCTTGTCATCACATGCACTGCTATCACAAATAGCCCATTGTTAGCCACTAATGGTCCCCATGAGCAGCTATCCATTCTCTCAAGTTGACCATTACCCATTCCTTTGTCTGTCTAACAGCTGTTCTCTCTCTCTCTCTCTCCCTGGGCTCCATCTCCACCAATCGTTTAATCTTTCCTCCTCCCCACCATCCCTTCTCTGGCATATAAACCAACATTTTTCCAGCTGCAATCAGTTCTGAAGAAGGATCACTGGACACATTACGCTAATTCTGTTTTCTCTCCACAGATGTTGCGAGAACTTTCAATGATTTCTGATTTTTGTCTCTTTTCTTAGCAACCTCCTGTGCAGCACCAACCTCCTGTGCGGCACCTTGTCAAAGGCCTTCTGGAAACCCAAAAAGATCACATCCACTGGCTCTCCTTTATCTAACTTATTTGTTACCTCCTCAAAGAATTCCAACAGATTTGTCAGGCATGACCTTTTCTTGACGAAGCCATGCCAATTCTGTCCCTTTTTAGCATGCAGTTCCAAGCACTCCACAATCTCATCCTTAACAACGAACTCTAAAATCTTATCAGTGACTGAGGGCAGGCTAACTGGCCTATAATTTCTTGTTTTCTGTCTCCCTCGCCTCTTTAACAGTGATGTTATATTAGACATTTTCTAGTCCTCTGAGATCCTCCCTAGTCCAGGGATTCCTGAAAGATCACTACAATCTCCTCAGCTATCTCCTTCAGAATTGAGTTGTAGTCCATCTGGTCTGGGTAATTCAACCACCTTCAAACCTTTTAACTTCCCAAACACCTTTTTAGCAATGGGCACTACACTCACTTCTGCTCCCTGACTCCTTTGAAGTTCTAGTTTGCTGCTGGTGTCTTCCACTGTGAAAACCGAGCAAAGTCCCTATTTGGTTCCTCCGCCAATTTTTTGTTCCCCATTACTACCTCTCCAGTCTCATACCTATCTAAAAAATACTCTTGCAATTTTCTTTTATATTACTAGCTAGCTTACCCTCATATTTCATCATCTCCCACTTACTGAATGTTTTTGGTTACCGTCTGCTGGTTTTTAAAAGCTTCCCAATCCTCTGGCTTCCCACTAATCTTCACCACACTGTGTTTTTTCTTTTGCTTTTGTGCTGTCCCGGGCTTCCCTTGTCAGTCGTGGTTGCCTCATCCTCCCCTTAGTGTGTTTCTTCTTCCTTGGGATGAATTTCTGCTGTCCCTCCCAAATTACTCCAGAAATTCCTGTCATTGCTGCTTCACTGTCTATCCTGCTAGGTTCCCCTCCCAATCAACTCAGACCAGCAACTCCCTCATGTCTTTGTAGTTACCTACACTCAATTCTTTTGTAAACTGTGTGCATTTAAGTACAGCACCCTCAGCCCTGCATTGACTGCCCACCCTTCTCATTCTTATCTCCATCTGTTGTGCTGGAAGTAATAATCCTGACCCCTTTCCATTATCTTTGTTTGGTTACTTGTTCCAGAAAACTTCAGCAGCCTCTGCTGAGCCCTCGTCCCCTTAACATTTCCCATAATTTTCCACGTAACTGAACCCACAGCCCTCCCTATTTAGTTTAAAGCCCTATCCACAGCGCTAGTTATGTGATTCACCAATACTCTGGTCCCATAATGATTCTGGTGGAACCTGACCCATTGGAACAGCTTTCTCCTTCCCTAGTACTGAATTTGAACCAGTTTCTCCCACACCAATCTTTGAGCCAGACATTTACCTCTTCAATCTTGTTGACCCTGTGTTAATTTGCTCATGGCTCAGGTAGTAATCCACTAATATCTTTTTGGTTCTGCTTTATAATTTAGCCCCCTAGCTGCTCATATTCCCTCAGCAGATCCTCTTTTGCCCCATATCATTGGTACCTATATGGACCACGGCAAGTGGATCTTTCCCCTCCCACTCCACATTCCTCTGTAGCCCAGTTGAGATATCCTGAACCCAGGCACCAGGCAGGCAACATAGTCTTCAGGACTCTTGGTCCTAGCCACAGAGAATGCATCCATTCCCCCAACTACACTATCCCCAATTACAACAACATTTCTTTTTTCTCTCCCCTCTTGAATGACTCTGTACCAAGGGGTTATGGTCAGTTTGCTCATCCTCCCTACAGCCCCCATTCTTATCCATACAGGGAGCAAGAATCTCAAACCTGTTAGATAAGCTCAAGGGCTGCGGTTCCTTCAGCACTACCTCCTCGATCCCTCTACCTGCCTTTACACTGGTAGTCACACCCCTCTGTCCATGACCACTGACCAAATTTGAGGTAGTTAATCTAAAGGGTGTGACTACCTCTTGAAACACAGTGTCCAGCTAAACCTGCCTGATGTGTCAGTGTTCGTAGCTCAGACTCCAGCTCATTGAGTCAGAATTCCTCAAGCAACCAACACTTGCTACAGATGTGGTCACTATGAACCATAAAGGGGTCCAAGCCCCAGCACCAACATCTTGCAGTTACAACACATCACCTGGCCCAGCACCTCGACTTAGTTCTTAATTTGAATTTTAAATATTTTGTACTGGTCTTTTAGTTTCTAGCCTGTAAAACCTTACCCAAATTATCTCCAATCTGGAAGTAACTGCTCATAGATAGTCAAATTAGTGCTATCGCCAACCAATGAACTTACAGTTTACCTGTGATGTTACTTTGTTGTGCTGGGCCCCTGATCCTGGGCTTCAATTTATCCTGTTCAAAAAAAACTATCAGCCAAAAAAAAAAAGCACCTCTTCCTCTCTGTAGCAAATTCCCATGTCGCCAGCAAATTCCCCGAACTATATACTCAGTCAGGCTGTCTCTCGCTTGGGATGCGATCTCTTCTTCCTGACTATGTAGAGCTTACTTCACCTTTGGGCTGTTGCAATCTCCGGCCTCTCCGATGTGGGCTTGGCTCCCTTTCACAAGGTGATTTTCTCAGGTCAGGGCAAATCTTCTTCTAAGTCTTCTTCAGTTGCCACATGGTCTACTGCCACAAGTCTATCCGTGAGTCTTCCCTGCCAGTCTTCACTGCACCCGATGGTAGGCTTTTCAAACGTCCAGCATTTAAAAGTGAATTTTCAATGCACACACACGCTGGCTTTTGTTTGGTTTGGTTTTTCGCATTACCAAGGATCCAGAAATTCGACTGAGAACCTGATTCACAAATGGCCTTGTTGCAAAATGTGCAAATGCACAAAACTGGCATGTAGTCTCCAGTGGACGACAAGTCTGAGAAAACTGGGATGATGAAAGATCATTGACCTGACATGTTAACTTTGTTCCTCTCCACAGATCACCTGGTGGTTTCCTCCAGCTCTGTTTGTTCTGATTACAATACAGGGCTGTTGCTTTTAACAATTCTTCAGCTTCCTTGATGTTGACTCCCATGCTCAGAGCTGACGTCTGTAACCAACTGAGCCAAATTCCACCTCACAACAGACTCAGTCCTGAGTGACAAGTCGACCAGCACAAATGCAGTTGATACTGTGATCAGCAAAGCTTTGAAACTGGATTTGAGTTTGTTTACAAATTTTGGTTTTTATTTGAGTTTGTTTAATCTATTTGTTAGGGTTTGTCAGGGACAAACGGCACCAGCAATTTTGACTTTTATGGCAAAACACAATTAACCTTTCAGATTATGACCTTTTAAAGGAACAACCCAAAATGTTAACTATTTCTCCCTCCAAAGATGGTGTATAATCTGGCGAATACCTCCAATTTTAAATTTCAGATTTCTAGCAGCTGCACATTTTGCTTTCTGATCAAAATAAAGGAAGTGGTTTTAACAAAATTGGAGTAAACCAATGGATTAAGATTAGCTTTGTTCTGCTTTCATGACACTTTTGAGTCATAAAGTTGCATAAAGAACTGAAACTGACAAATGGCAAGCAGCTCACATTAACTCCAGGATGGTCAAATGTTCTATTCTAAGGAACAGTGGATATCATAGCCTACCCATTCTCTCCTACTCTTAGCTCGGATTATGACTTATTCAGCCTCTTGTCTGTCCTGGTTTATTATCAATGGTCTGCTTGTCTGCTAACTCCTTTCATATCTCTCTCTCTCTCTGGGTTTGGTCTCCACCTATCCACTCATTTTCACTCCCCTCCCCACAGCATAAATACTACCTTTTCCTAGCTACTATCAGTTTTGATGAAGAGTCACTGGGTTCAAAACATTAACACTGTTTTCTCTCCATTGATGCTGCCAGACATCCTGAGTTTCTTCAGCAATTTGTCACTCAGCAACCAATACACATTTTTAGATGGTGCTAAATTCAAAACTGCAAAAGAAGCCTAAAATATTAAATGCAGTATCTTGCGCTATTGTGTAACTACTGCTCAAATTCTGCATTCTGTTCTATTACCCTTATGTACCAATGTAAGGTATGATTTGTCTGGTTAGCACACAATACATTACTTTTCACTGTGTCTCAGTACATGTGACCATAATAAATCAAATCAAATCAAATCAAATCTTGTTAGGAATACTTACTTCATTTCTTGATCCGACACAGCAACAACTCGAGCTTCCTCAAGATAAGGCCAATTCAAATAAACAGACCTTCCAAGCTCCTGATTAGCAACATCATCCACATTCTGAAAGTGAAGGGGTAATTTATAAATTAGCCTTAAATATAATGGTTTTGAAAGCTGTTTTACCCCCTTTCAATAATCTCGTATAATTCACCAGTGAAAGGAATAACAAATCTTATTTCTAGCATGCTGCAGAAATCCAAAAGAAATTCCTGAAATTTGACACTAATAACACAGACACGCTTTAGAATTCATATGTCTAATCTTGCAAAGGTCTACTTTAGGGAAAGTAGGGGTTAATTAATTTGCATGTAAAATTAAATAATGAACAACATTATTTAAGTAGCAGCAACTTGTTCTGAAAAGCTCAAGAAGTTTGGAAGTCAAATGAAATGTTGTTTTCAGTTTTAGTTATAAATCTAGTTATATTCCATTCTTGTTGAACTCTCTATGATCTAGTACGTACTTCCTCTTCCTTGGGCAATAACTCCAAAAGCATATTTTCTCCACGGCTTGGTTGTTGAAAGATTTGAACTCCACTCTTCGCTAAGTAGAACTGCAAAGATAACAAAGGTTCATTTTCCTTCTTACAGACTTGCTCAAAAATAAATACAAGGTGCAAAAAGAAAAGCTCGCTTATGGAGACAAAGAGTCAGACAGCGTGGAAATAGACCCTTCTGTCCAACCAGTTCATGCTGACCATGTTCCCAACTAAACTAGTCCCACCTGCCTGTGCATAGCCCATTTTCCTTGTGTTGGTAGTATTTGATGCTATACAGCTTCTCCTAGTCAGGTAACTGCAGTCTTTTTGACATCCAGCACCTGCTGTAATCCGTAATAAACCAGCAGAATGGGGAATTAGGGTTGAGTAATCAAACTCCGGGGTGACCAGAGATTTTCTTTCAGAAGAGCTGCACTCTTGACTGGTGGAAATTGGAAGTGAAATTAATAAATCGTTCCAGTTTGGAATGAGGAAGGGAAGCAGCACAGATGATGTCATCAAATAGGATTGGAACAAGGGATGTTCCATGTATGCCACAAAGAGAAAGGCTTAACTGGGGACCATGCAGGAACCCAGAGCTGGGGATGCCACCAGCCAGATCTACCCTCCCCTCCTTTGTCAGCATTCCACAGGGACTATTCCCTCTGGAACATGCTGGTCCACTCCTACTCCATTCCCAGAACGTCCCCACACTGCCACAGCACCTTCCTGTGCAATCACAAGAAGTATAACACCTGCCTGTTTACTTCCTCCCTCCTCATCATCCAAGGCCCTAAATATACCTTCCAGGTGAAGCAGCAAGTTACCTATACTTTATTCAATCTTGTTTATTATATTCACTGGTCACAGATTGGTCTGCATTACATTGTGGAGGTGAAACACAGACTGGGGTCCACTTTGCACAACACCTATATTGCATGTGTGAAAATGACTACAGCTTCTAGTTGCCTGCCACTTCAACAGACCACCACGTTCTCTGGCCAACACTTCTGTTTCAGGTTTGCTGCAGTGTTCCAGCAAGCTTAAGAGCAAGGGGCCTTAGGGACCCCGAAGCCTCTGGGACTCCACATTGAATTCAATGATTTTGAAGCCTAACTCTATCTTTCCATTATTTTTACCCACAACCCACACCCAGTCCTGTTATGACATGGGTTGCTTTTAGAAAAGCAAACCCATTTTCACCCACTCTCAGGCCTATTATGACATTACATAGTTTGCTTTCAGCACAGACTACCCATTCTCTGTTATGTCAGCTCACATTATTACTTATTCAGCTTCTTGTTTATCCTGGGAAGCCATCCATAATCCCCTTGTTTTCCTTAACCTTTCATTTCTCTCTCTCTCAGTTCCATCTCCACCTATTCACTCACCTCTCCTATTTGACCCTTCAGCATAAATACTAGTTTTCCTGGTGGCTATCAGTTTTGATGAAGAATTACCGGACTCGAAATATTAACTCTGCTTTCTTCCCACAGATGCTGCCAGACCAGTTGAGTTTCTCAGTCATCCGTTTTTGCTTCAGATTTTCTTTGTTTTATTTTAATAAATGTGCTGGATTTAGCTTTACAAGGTGCAAGATACTTGTATGCTGTGGTATTAAGTATTTCGGCTTTAAGCTAGTTAAGCATCACCACTGTCCTAGCACATGCTTTGGGACTTCTAAGTGAGCATAATAACAGACGTACAAGTGTAGTGAGATACACCCATAACAGACAATGTACTTTTGTAGAATCCTTAGTATTTTATTAATTTCTCTTAACAAGAGTGATGGGTTTCTATCAACTTAGTCTTACAGTTCACCTGCCCACCCACAACAAAACATTTGGTAATCAAGTTAATCACTGCACAGCAATCTAAATTCAAGGCAGTCCAGATCAGACTCGTGATTGATTTTGACTGACAAAACTAGTAACCACATAAAACAGTGACCCTCACACAGCTATGGAAAAAGGAGCCCGTTGTATAGATACAAATTTTCAAGACCAACCTAAACCAGTTTAAGAAAAATATACATGCATTCCTCTTGGATTGCTCACCCCACAGTTAAAGGTGCAAAGGTCCACTAAGTCTGAAAGCAGAGTGGCTATAAGAGCTTTAATCAGTTAGTCGCCAAGGAAGCAACCTGCAGTCATCCACAACATAGTGACTTTCCTTTAAATTATGAATTTCTGTTGCACTCTCACCATGTCTACAATCTGTTCCATGTATACAGTTTTGTCGATATGTCAAAACTGGCAAACTGACAAATACAAGTATAGCAAGGATATCAATAAAAATAAATGCAACAAATAGAAATTTTACATTCGAGGGGAAGCTTACCTTGTGCTTAATATGTCTCAGAGTTGGAAACCCACGGAAGTACAAAGACCCCTTCTCAGTGACATGCCTTTTAGCGTACCTGAGATCTACTTTCCATGCATCCATGGGAATCTCTTCATGTCTGAAAGAAATATCAAACAAACTAAATTAAAATGTGCTGTTAATGATGTAAAATAGCAATGATTTAATCCACAGAACAATCCTTCAGGAAACAATGTAAAATTTGATACTGTGTCTAAAGTAACTACCTTGCATGACATTGCTCCACATCTGGAAATTTTTCTGGCCATGGTGATGGATATTTGAAGGCAATTTCTTTGTCCCACCAAAACTTGACACAATTACTGTGTCTATTGCGCTGTACTTCCTCCTCTGAAAGATCACTATTACATGGTTCCATCGCTGCCAGTAATCGTTTCTGAAAAGGTTAGACAGCACTTAGACTCCTTATGCATTTATAAATTAATAAAATGCTATGAAGAGGTAAAATGATTGTAGACAGAAACAGAGTACTTAAAATTTATTAATGGGATGTGGGTGCTTTTCAAGGCCAGCAATTACTCCGTTCTCGAATTACCCTCCCAGAAGCGTATCTTGAGTGCAGCTCAGTAGGTTTGCTGGGCTAATTCAGAGGTGGCTTAGATTCATATATAAGCAGAGACAGGCTGAATATGAGACATTTTCTTCGTCAAATAAAATTAGTGAACCATATGATTTATTTTGTTTACAACAGTGTGATAATTTGTCTTTTTCTAAAAAATTCACCCATGGGACATGGCTGGCCAGTATTTATTGCCGGCCAATATTTATTGCCAGTCCCCATTTACCCTCGAGAAGATAGTGGTGAGCTGCCTTCTTGAACCGCTGCAGTCCAAATGCTGCAGGTTGACCCACAATGCCAATAGGGTCGGAATTCCAGAATTTTGACCCAGTGACGGTGAAGGAATGGTGATATTTTTCCAAGGCAGGATGGTGAGTGACTTGGAGGGGAAAATCGCAGGTGGTGTTCCCATGTATTTGCTGCGCTTGTCTTTCTAGATAGCAGTGATCATGTGTTTGGAAGTTACTGTCTAAGGATCTTTGATGAATTTCTGGCATATAGTACACAATGCTGCGATACAACCTGATAATGCATACAGATACTCACCTCATCAATAAATGGAATCAGAACAACAGCTTCCCACTCCTGTTGCTTGCCATTAAGGTCCGTTTTGAAATCTGGAGGATAGTACTCGATGATTGGTGAAGCTTCATCAGTCATTAAAAACTGAGAATATAAACATATAAATTACATAGCTATTTTATATGTTCAATTTATGATGTTTAGCTTCTACCTTGATATTCATTTCTCCTATTGTCTCGTCATCAAATTATTTTTAACTGCAGTTCCTGGCAAGAAGCCAGAACGAGATTTTCATTCATTTCTTACAAATGTTATACAGAGACAGGGAAAAAGTGGGAAAATGGGAGAGGAAAGACAGTGCAAAATCTGGGATGGAGTGAAAAGGGAAGGTGGTCCAGAGAGTAGTGAAAGTTGAGGAAGAAGAGGATGGGGGGACAAGACAGCAATCAAGCAAACAAGACTGCGAGAGAGTGAGCTAGTGAGAGCTCGTCAGCGAGAGTGTGAGTGAGCGCGAGAGACAGTGAGAGTGAGAGACAGCGAGAACGGGAGAGCAAGAGCGCAAGAGAGAGCAAGAACAAGCTCACGAGCACGAGCCAAGGGTGGAGCGAGGGAGTGCAGCCAATATTGAGGGCGGCCGAGAGTGAGAATCCGAATGACGGAGTAAGAGCGAGGGGAGGGTGGCCGAGACTGAGAGCAGTCGAGAGCTTAAAAAGAGCACAAATCTGTGGAATTCACTATTCTAGAGTCTGGTAGATATCATAATACTGAATAAACCGAAGGAGACACGGACAGATTTTTAATTAGTAATGGGTTAAAGGGTTACAGGGAGCGGGCAAGCAAATGGAGTTGAGGCTGGGATGAGGACAGCCACGATCATATTAGGTGGTGGGTGGGCTCGAGGGGCTGGAATGCTTACTCCTGTTCCGTGTTCTTATGTTCTTATGAGAAAGAGTGGATGAGTATGAAAGAGAGAGACAGAGAAAACAATAGACAGTACAGGGGAATACACAGTCGCATCAAAGAACCAAACACCAAATAAACTGCTTGAAGCCTGATGGCATTATGTCCATGAGATAAAGAATTATCAGCAACAGTCTGAGGATCACATCTATATGGTCATGATTTTTTTGCCAGAAGTCTTCATTTGACTGAGCAAGCTGCTCTTCAAACAAACACAGAAAATGCTGGAGGATCCCTGGTCTGGCAGTAACTGTGAAGAGAGAAACAAAGTTAACATTTCAAGTACAATATGACTCTTCACAATCATATTAGTCTCGAAACATTAACTCTGTTTCTCTCTCCAAAGATGTTGCCAGAGCAGAGCTTCTCAAGGATTTTCTGTGTTTGTTTCAGATTTCCAGCATGCACAGTATTTTGCATTTATAGGTTGTTTCCTCAACCCACAGCTCTTTGGTTACATACCCGCGTGGGATGCAGAATTTTATTCTTTTTCTGTCCCTTCTCTGTCTTTTTTTTTTAAGGCAAAGAGACTCAAAACATGCTGTTTGATGGAAAAGTTGCCATTATTCTGTGTGATTGGTAGCCCAGATTTAATGTCCCAATGCAGTGTGCTTCAAGAAGAGCTTTGCAGTGTGCCTGAAACTTCATCTTTGAACTCCCTACAAACACTGGGCATTTGAGAGTTGAAAGAATGAGGCCTGATGGAGAGACTTCAACCATCTGGATTCAGTGTCCATCAAAACTGACTTTTGCAGGAGGTTAAACTGAATGCTTGTGATCTGGTTTGAAGATCTTGTTCATAGTACTCCCACTGTTTCCAAGGGATGAAGTAGCAGCATTTTGGTGGAATTTCTCTAGTGCTCTAATGGGTCACTGATACACAATCCAAGTTTCACTCTGGCACAGACAAATGATGATGGCATCTATTCTGTAAACTCGGTCTTTTGTTAACAAACACTTACTGGTGTAGTCTAGAGAAGGCTGAACTGGTGCAACTGATCTAGTGATTTAGATTTAGATTTTACCATGTGTACTCAAGTACAGGAACTCAGGAGTACAGTGAAACAAGTGCACAAAGTCACCATTCTCCAGCACCATCTTAGTATACAAGGGACAGGATTAAAAACAGAATCAGAAACAAAAGGAACAGCCAAAAGAAAAGGAAAATGCCCAGATCACTCCCCCACCTTTTCTCACTGCCAGAAAAACAAAGCGACAAAGTGCATTCGTCAGTCTGCAAACACTCAGGTGCCCCGAGTCTCTGCACACCGGTGCAGCTGGAACACCACTATCTCCACTGTCAATGATGTCCTTTTGAGGTAACCGAAAAGGTATAGCAAGTGATCAACATATTCCAGAATCTCCTCTTCAACAGGTAAGGGATACGGAATATTTGGTTGACTGGGCATAATTGTTGAATTTTGTTTTGACAATATTTGAGGATAGGTCAAACTTCTTGTGTACAGAATTGAAGAGATCAAGAATGGCTTGAAAACCAGTACAGAGTGAGCAACAGCACTGTCATTATTAACAAAGATGTAGAGGTGCCGGTGTTGTACTGGGGTGGACAAGGTCAGAAATATAAGGACTGAGGCTCCGAAAGCTTGAGTTTTCAAATAAACCTGTTGGAATATAACCTGGTGTCATGTGATCTCTGACATTATTAATAAATCGTAAACCATAGATATTTATTCAGTCTAGTTTAGTTTTGGCATGGAGACAAGTGAAGTTAAGGGGCTTTCCATATAGACTGAACCTAATACTTTCATCAAGGGCAGTTCATTTTTGATTAGACAAGCAGTGACAGTCAATAGTGCAAATAGTGCACTGTGCAAAATATTGAAGACAACTGCCATAATGTGAAAACCTACTAAGAGTCCTCTTACCTGGTAGCATTTAGGTAGAAGATCTTTGCTGGCTGCTGGCAGAACAGCTAGAAGCTGCTCAAATGGCTTGAATGGTTTCCCTATATCAAACTTTATCTTCAACTTGCTGATATAACGGATGTCAGATAGGTAAGGTGCATAATGAAAAGGATAGTACCTGAATAGTGAAACAATGATCTGATTAAATACATTGTGCAATAGCACAGTCACTAACCTATTATCTTTAGGAATTAATTTATATTTTGAAGAGAACTCAAATTAGCGGGTAAATCTCTAATGGTATATATCAATAATGAAATAAATTTCAACTAAAGCTGTCCAAGCTTTTCAATCAAAATTGATATGTTGGGGCTTCTGTTGAAAACTTACCCAGAAATTAGAGCAGGCTTTTAATCCTCTAATTTTACCTGAGTAACTATTAAGCTGAAATGAGTCAGATGTCTCCAAACTGCCACAGAAGGCTATGGTGACCAAGTCATTGAGTTATTTAAGAAAGAGATAGATAAATTCTTGATTAGGAAGGGGATCAATGGTTACAGTGAGAAGGCAGGAGAATGGGGTTGAGAAACATATCAGTCATGATCAAATGGTAGAGCAGACTCAATGGACCAAATGGCCTAATTCTGCTCCTGTATCATATGGTCTAAATTCTCTGTCTCTAAGGAATTTTTACAGAGGCTCCCAAATGCAGTTATTGGTCCAAGAAAATTTCAATTTCTCAAGTCATTCTCATGGAGTCAGTTACATGAGGATTTCTGTATACACAACTTCAATAGACCCTGCAAAAACAACAAACCAGTCACTGTAACTTCTGGGTCATGTCCTAACCCATGTTATCTTATTGTTTAAAATATTAACATCAGATCAGAAAGTTATTACACTATATTACAAAAGTGAAATGCTTCATGGTTCAGAGCTAGAACCTGTTTAATACATTATAACATGCAAAGTTATCTGACTGAACCACAGACAACTTTTTAAAGTTGATAACACTAACATCTACAACTCAGAAGGTTGAGATTTCAAGACTCACAACGGTCAGTGTATTAAAAGATGAAATATTAACGGCTTTATTTCATTTTCATATCCCTTTGTAAATTACGATATAATTTTTTTTCTTTATTCATTCACAGGATGAGGGTGTCACTGGCCAGGCAGCGTTTATTCCCCATTCCTAGTTGTCCACAGAGCAGTTAAGAATCAACCACATTGCTGTGGATCTGGAGTCACATGTAGGCCAGACCAGGTAAGGATGGCAGATTTCCTTTCCTAAAAGACATTAGTGGACCGATTGGGTTTTTCTGACAATCAATAATGGATTCATGGTCATCGTTAGACTCTTAATTCTAGGTTTTTTTTTTAATTCAAATTCCTCCATCTGCTGTGGCAGGACTCAAACCTGGGTTCCCAGAACATTACCTGGGTCTCTGGATTAATAGTTCAGTGATAATACCACGAGGCCATGAAAATGGACTCCATATCTGAGGCAGTTGTTCATACACACGAAGTACTCAAAGTCCAAAAATGTGGAGGCTAGGTGGATTAGCCATGGGAAATGCGGGGTTGCAGGGTCAGGGTATGGAAGTGAGATGCTTTTCGAAGGGTCGGTGTGAACTCGATGGGCCAAATGACTTGTTTCCATACTGTAAGGGATTCTATGAAATGAATAAGTCACATCACCCTTTCTCTTTCAAACTTGGTCAAATTTTGGAACAATAATAAGACAGTGAGCAAATTTTCATTAAAACTCGAATGAAAAGATCAGTGAAATGAATTTCAGTTTCTACCATTCATTAGAAATTCTATTCTTAGTAAACCCTTAAAACAGCCTGAAGCTCATTTAATATTTGGCACAAATTTAAGGGTATATTTCACATCCAAGAATAAATCTCTATATTCCAGAAAATAGAAAGACCAGTGTTTAACAGAACAAGAGGTAAGAAATAGATTCAGCTGTGCAAAAATTGAATAAAATGTTGTATTTAAATATATCCGTGCAAATACCTACCAGCTCCAGGACTGCACACCATGGTAATAATAGTGCAAAATCCATTGTATTGCTTGAACATAACATTCTGCTTGCTGAGCGAGAAATTCACTATTGGAAGACAACAGAAAATTAGTAAATTTAGCCAAACAAAAGAAATTTCTAAATTCTGCTACTTTATTGAAGAAGAATTTGGGTGGAAGCACTAATTTCTGCACATTTTGAATCAGATTTTTCAACAGATGTATGTTTTTATCCTTCTGTTAGATGTTTCCCAATGCCTTGCCCACATCACAATCCTTCATCTACGAGTAGCAGTGACTACTTAGCCATTCATGTCAAGCTCAATCCTTTTCTCAATGAAGGTCCATTGTACTGAGTGAACAGTAACAATATTTGTGGTACTAGACTAACATTACAGAAAAGGAGCCAATATAAATATAACTACTGTGACCGAGTTCCCAATTCTGTAAGCAGAGTTGAACAATAGGTGTGCCAATTCTCTGTTACACCTCTGTAGGCAGATCATAGCATTATGAGAATGGAGTCTCAATTTCAGAGCCTGTAACTTTGATTCGATTTATTGCAGACACATGCACCTAAGTACAGTGAAAAGCTTTGTTTTGTGAGCAAAGGACATATTGGTCACAGGGTGCTTCGACAGAGCAAGGCATACAAGGTTATGGCTGCACAGGAGGTGCGCTAAGCAAGATCAACATTAGCAAAATCAACAATATTTGAGATTAAAGAGGTCTATTCAGTAGTCTAATAACGGCAGGGAAGAATCTGTTTTTGAACCTGTTGGTGCATGTGTTCAAGTTTCTGTACTCAAGGGTACATTCAAATGCTTTGGATATAGATTCTCCTAGAACTCTGAAGGTGGAGCCAACTGCCTACTGCTTCACCTTTTAGTGTACCTAGACTTTTGCGGTCAACAAAGCAGCAATCTTACGCACTCATTTTCAAAAACCCTTCCCCTTATGCGTTCTCCATTGCTACTGGAGTGGAACATTACTGTCCAACACATGGGCAGTCCTTCAACCTAAAACCTGCACTGTCTGCTTTGGAAACATTTTTAATTCTAAATAGGGGATAAACATAAACACTATTTCCAGGGAAAACAAAATTCACTTACTCAGAAACAACTTCTACACCCATCTTCGTCATGTAATAAACTCTCTTGTATTGCCTGAATTCGGTTTCAAACAAATCATTCTCATCCTCGTTGTCTTCATCCTTGCTGTCATCCAATAGTTCTGGAAGTGATTTAAAAATACCACATGTAAGAAACAGAGTGAAATGTGATTGAAAATCAATTTAAATTCATTGCACTGGCTGTAAAAACTGAATATATTATCTGACAAACAGTTGTCATTGTTAACCTAAAATAAATCTAAGTATTAAAACATAACATTAGCTGGAAAGAAAACATCAATTAGGTGACACTTGATAGGTATGAGCAAATTAAAAATAAACCCTGAAATTTAATGGGAGAGAAACTGATACAATTGGAGAATGCCACACAGCTTGATTTCCCCAGTATTCTTCCACTCTGATACAGCCCCACTTTCATTACGGCCTCTCCCTGACCCCACTCACTGAGGGGTTGCAACAACTTTCAAGCCTCAAAATGGGGTTACAATGGGAAAAGTTTGATAAGTACTGCTGCACAAGGCGAGGTAGATCATGGTGCATGGTGTTGCCTTTCATCTAGAAACTAAGGCAAATTTGCACCCATTTCTCACCCAATTATGTCACTGAGATCCTTAGAATACACTGTTATACAATAATTGGCAGCAATTTCAAAGCATGAAATATTTATTTATGTCTCATGTTTACCTTCGTGATTGAATTCAGTCCTGCAGTTTGAACTGGCTGCTGTCTCATTTCCACTATCATCCAATACAGCTAAACACATATCATCACGAACCTGTAAATAAAACAAAAACACAACCTGCTTTTCCACACTCAGTAAAGCTCTCTGTAAAAAAAAAGGCAGAATGCTACCAACTTCACCTTATACAGGCAGAATTCCTTCGCAAGTAGTCAGCAGACACAACAATATTAGACTGAACCAATGCTCAACGGTTCCATTCTCCTTTCTTCTGCAGAGATTACACTTCCCGTACATTAGACATTGCTTATATAACAAGCTTTATCAGACTGAACTAAAATCACTCAAAATGGCTGTAGATGAAGGAATAAGTTGTGACTTTCAAGCAAAATGTCTGCATTTCAACAGTTTTCTGAACTTCCAATTACAGCATTTTAAACTTCAATAAGCCGCCTCTCCTAATAATGTAATGTTTGAAACTTTGGTGAAGTTAGATTTGTAAAGAAACTCAAGTCAGAACAATTTATATTACCCTGCTGAATCAATTAAACCATAGCCATCATCCTGCAAGTAGTTTAATGACCAAGGAAGGATGTTCTGGGTTCGAGAAATCGACTATTTACATTTAATCAATTACTTGGAGTAAATTTCAAGCTAGTGACACCCTAGGATTTAAATCAGGTTACCTGATGACTCCAGCTTACCTCTGAGCCAAAAGGAGCAGATTCAAGTTCTGCCTGCAGCATAGGTGTGTCAGAACACATCTAAACAGGTTGATTAAAAGTATCGACCTTATGACTCTTTGCATTAGCAACGCCTGCCTCATCCTATATAAAATGACTGAGACAATTGAATAAACAGTCAGTGGAGCACATGTTTCCATAAATGTGATTTGGCAGCGAGCGAGGGAAAGCATTATACAGCGCATCATTCCCAGCCTGAATGATATTAATTAAATTATGGACAAATATTCTGGATAGTTGATAGATGTAAAGGCTATGGTAGGATAACCTGTAAATAGTACGTGAAAGGAGCAGGTTTGATCGGGCAACTGACCTTTTCTAATATCTTACATCAGTTAGGCTGAATTAGTTAAGCACTTTCATGATTCAGTGAATGCTGTTTGTTTGAAGTGTTATCCTCCCAGCAGATGCTGTTACTGGACTATTCAGCCCATCAAGTCATTTTGTTCTGTTTTTATTTAATGAAGTGTAATTTACTGAACCACGAGCATGTAATGCTGCAGTTTTAGTTACAATAGTAAAACAGAAGGTTTATTATGGAAAAGAGAAGATAAAATACCAAGCTAGTTACATATAATAAAATTTGAAATATTTGAAACACAGTAAACAAGTACAATATTCCATCTATTCAAAGCTTATCTCTTTTCAGTACTTAAACACCAGAGACAACTCCCCTTCTGTCACAGCTACCTCTCTGACTTAGCTGCTGCTTTTAATTCTCCGTGCTGAGAGTCTGAAAGCCTCCTCTTTAAGTATTCACACTGTTACAGAGCAGATCAAACTCCCTCAGAATATATCAAGGAACTAGCTTAGACCCTAACTTTTAACTTATTTAAAAGCAAGTATAAGATGTTGCATTCTAGATGTTGTGCCAATCTATTATCCTACTAAGATCAATCTATCCTGCATACCCGACATTTTACTATCATCCATGTGCCTATCCAAGACTTGCTTGAAAGTCTCTAAAGTACCTGACTCCACTTCCACTGCTGGCAGCGCATTCCACACGCCCACCACTCTCTGTGTGAAGAACCTACCTCTGACATCTCCGCTATACCTTCCTCCAGTCACCTTAAAATTATGCCCCCTCGTAATAGTCATTTCCACCCTGGGAAAAAGTCTCTGACTAGCCACTCTATCTATGCCCCTCATCATCTTGTAAACCCCTATCAAGTCACCTCTCATCCTTCTTCACTCCAATGAAAAAAGCCCTAGCTCCCTCAACCTTTCCTCATAAGACCTGCCCTCCAGTCCAGGGAACATCCTGGTAAATCTCCTCCGCACCCTCTCTAAAGCTTCCACATCTTTCCTATAATGAGGTGACCAGAACTGAACACAATATTCCAAGTGTGGTCGAACCAGAGTTTTATACAGCTGCAGCATAGCCTCACGGCTCTTAAACTCAATTCCCCTGCCAATGAAAGCCAACACACCATACACCTTCTTTACAACCCTATCAACTTGGGTAGCAACTTTGAGGGATCTATGGACGTGGGCCCCAAGATCCCTCTGTTCCTCCACACTGCCAAGAATCCTGCCATTAACCCTGTATTCTGCATTCAAATTCAACCTTCCAAAATGAATCACTTCACACTTTTCTGGGTTGAATTCCATCTGCCACTTCTTTGCTCAGCTCTGCCTGTCAATGTCCCGTTGCAATCTACAACAGCCCTCCACGCTGTCCACACTCCACCAACCTTCGTGTCATCGGCAAACTTACTAACCCACCCTTCCACTTCCTCATCCAAGTCATTTATAAAGATCACAAAGAGCAGAGGCCCCAGAACAGATCCCTGTGGAACACCACTGGTCACCAAGCTCCAGACTGAATACTTTCCATCAACTACCACCCTCTGTCTTCTATTGGGCAGCCAGTTTTGTATCCAGACAGCCAAATTTCCCTGAATCCCATGTCTCCTTACTTTCTGAATGAGCCTACCATGTGGAAGCTTATTGAATGCCTTGCTAAAATCCATACACACCACATCCACTGCTCTACCTTCATCAATGTAGTTTGTCACATCCTCAAAGATTTCAATCAGGCTTGTGAGGCATGACCTGCCCCTCACAAAGCCATGCTGACTATTTCTAATCAAACTATGCTCTTCCAAATAATTTGCCCCCCACAGAAGAAAGACTGACCGGTCTGTAATTTCCAGGGTTATCCCTATTCCCTTTCTTGAACAAGGGAATGACATTTGCCACCCTCCAATCTTCTGGTACTACTCCAGTGGGCAGTGAGGATGCAAAGATCATTGTCAAAGGGGCAGCAATCTTCCCTCGCTTCCCGTAGTAACCTTGAGTATATCCTGTCTGGCCTAGGGGACTTATCTATCCTCATGTTTTTCAAAATTTCTAGCACATCCTCCTTCCTAACATCAACCTGTTCGAGCATATCTGCCTGTTTCATGCTGTCCTCACAAACGTCAAGGTCCCTCTCGCAAGTGAATACTGAAGCAAAGTATTCATTAAGGAACTCCTCCACCTCCTCTGACTCCGCACACAAGTTCCCTCCACTATCCTTGATTGGCCCTACCCTCACTCTGACCATCCTCTTGTTCCTCACATAAACATAGAAAGCCATGGGGTTTCCCTTGATTCTACCCACCAAGGTTTTCTCATACCCCTTCTAGTTCTCCTATGTCCATTCTTCAGTTCCTTTCTGGCTACCTTGCAGACCTCTAGAGTCCTGTCCAATCCTTGCTTCCTCAACTTTAAGTAAGCTTCCTTCTTCCTCTTGACTGGGTGTTCAACATGTCTTGTCATCCAAGGTTCCTTCACCTTACCATCCTTCCCTTGCCTCAGTGGGACAAACCTATCCAGTACCTGCAGCAACTGCTCCCTAAACAACCTCCACATTTTATCGTGCATTTCCCACAGAATATCTGATCTCAATTGGTGCTCCGTAGTTCTTGCCCAATAGCATTGTAATTCCCCCTCCCCCAATTAAATACTTTCCCATACCGTATGCTCCTAGCCCTCTCCATGACAATAGTAAAGGTCAGGGAGTTGTGATCACTATCACCGAAACGCTCTCCCACCGAGAGATCTGACACCTGACCTGGTTTGTTGCCAAGCACCAAATCCAATATGACCTCCCCTCTAGTCGGCCTATCTACATATTGAGTCAGAAATCCTTCCTGGACACACCTGACAAACTCTGCTCCATCCAAACTATTTGCACTTAGGAAGTTCCAGTCTATATTAGGGAAGTTGAAGTCGCCCATGACAACAACCCCATTACTTCTGCACCTTTCCAAAATCTGTCTCCCAATCTGTTCCTCAGTATCTCTGTTGCTGTCAGGGGGTCTATAGAAAACTCCCAATAAAGTGACTGCTCCTTTCCCGTTTCCGACTTCCACCCATACTGACTGAGTGGACAAACCCTCCTCCACGACCTCCCTGTCTGCAGCTGTGATACCATCCCTGATTAGCATTGCCATTCCCCCCCACCCCTTTTACCTCCCTCCCTATTTCATTTGAAACATCTATACCCTGGAACATTCAACCACCATTCCTGTCCCTGTGTTATCCAAGTTTCCGTAATGGCCACAACATCGTAGTTGCAAGTACTGATCCATGCTCTAAGTTCGTCAGAGATAGTAGGAACTGCAGATGCTGGAGAATCCGAGACAACAAGGTGCAGGGCTGGATGAACACAGCAGGCCAAGCAGCATCATAGGAGCAGAGAGGCTCGCAGTGGGGTTAAAATTGAATCAGAGATAGTAGGAACGCAGTGGGGTTAAAATTGAATCAGAGATCTGCTCCTATGATGCTGCTTGGCCTGCTGTGTTCATCCAGCCCTGCACCTTGTTGTCTAAGTTCGTCAGCCTTATTCCTGACACTTCTTGCATTGAAGTGGACACACCTCAACCTGTCCCACTCACTGCCACTTTGCCCTATCAACTGCTTATCCTTCCTCACAGATTCTCTGCTTGCTCTATCTGTCTGCACACCGGCTCCCCAATCCTCTGATCTGTAGCTCCGGTTCCCATCCCCCTGTCAAACTAGTTAAAACCCTCCCAAAGAGCTCTAGAAAATGTCCCGCCCAGGATATTGGTGCCCCTCCAGTTCAGGTGCAACCTGTCCTTCCTGTACATGTCCCAGCTTCCCCAGAAGGTATCCCAATGATCCACAAACCTGAGGCCCTCCCTCCTACACCAGCTCTGTAGCCATGTGTTCAGCTGCACTTGCTCTCTGTATTAATAAAATATTATTTAGCTACTAACCATCAACTGTTCCTACATAGCAGCATCCCATAAACACACCCTTGGCGAAGGCATATTCAGCAAAACAGATCTTCCTTACATGCTATCTCCTCTACAGTCCAGGAGAAAGGAACACTCACGGAAACAATCTAGCAGCAGAGAGAGAACTCAAACTTCTTCTGCAGCAGAGAGAGTGCTCTATCAATGATCTTCAATAGCTAACTCCAAATCCTAACATAAAGCAAAACTAAAATCATGGGTTTGTGTGAAACTGACTCCACCCACTCATGCTTCATTTGTCTAATTTAAGAAAAAACAATCAGAGAGCTCAAAGCTGTTTACCCACTGCTTCTGAAGCAGACATTCCAACACCACTGTGACAACACCTCTCTGCAAGAGAAACAGGACAGGACACCTCTTAAAGGCACAGTATCATCATAACACAACTGAGCTTAGGCTTTTAGATAACTTCAAATAACTCCTTCAGAGTTGTAACCAAACACTTCTGGCATAGAAAGTTTACACTAGAACCCTAACACTGAAGTAACCTATTTCCTAACAGTTGCAAACTAACTCCTTTAACGCGGATAAACGGTTTAATACATCCAACCTCAATAAGGAGGTTGCGAACTGAAACCAAAACTTTTCCAAGTTATAGGTATTTCCCTGAGCAAAACAAAAATAATTTCCTGATCCTTTCAATGCTCTTCAATGTTTATTCTCTTTGCAAAATTCTCCCAATCCAAACAAACTCCTATTCGCATTCCACAAACATAGTCTCGCATGCTTTCATAAAGAAAGTTCCTGAAATGCTCACAAGTTAATCATTGAACCCTCTCACACAGACACCCACATGCCACATGTTCAAACCTTGCTTTAAAGTTCAAAACTCAAAAATAAATAAATACATATAAATCACATTTTCTGTCACAAGACTATTTCATTTCCTTCACAAAATAACAATTACTTAAAGGATTCAGTTGTAAAGAGTATCTGAAGACGTATAAGATGATATATACCTTGTTTTTCTTTTTACGTCGTTTTGCTTCCTCTGCTGCAATACCTGCTGCCTCATTTAGGTACTTTTTACCCACTTTACTTTCAAACCACTTTAGGTCCACAAAAACGTCACTAAAATGCTCACGATCAAACTGTAATCAAAGAATTATATCATGTTAAATTAGGGAAAAAATACACAAATACTATTTGTTGAAAATGTTTCACTTGCTAAAACATACAAAGTGAATCTAGTTAAGGTTAAACACCGTCATAGAATGTGTAGAGGAGTCATATCAAACTGAAACGTTAACGGTTTTTCTCTCTACATATTACTGGACATGCTGAATTTCTCCAGCAATATCTGTTTTTAATGTAGAATTCCAGCATCTGCAGTATTTTGTTTTTCTCACATCCCACTACGCTATTAGCTCAGATAATATTTTTCAGAAATAATTAAATTTTGAAAGCACAAAACTGGCATTACAGTGCCCAATGCGTATTGCTTTTACTATCAAGATAAGTGGATTCAACTATAAATTACACACACGTGTCATTATTATTGAAATCTTAGCAACAACGCTGATTATATTTCTGAGTTATTATTTAATGAGACCAATTTAAACACATTTTCAAGCTGTTATATGAAGTTCACAAACAGTTCAACAAAAAATGTACAAGCAATCCATGCTTACCTCAGACAGTTTTACAAGATACTTCTCAAAGTGTTCCAAATTTAATGTTCCGCCTTCATTAATATACCCTGATCAAAAGAAAATAAGTTTTAATAACAAAGCTTTTCTTTGCCTATGAATCAATGAGCTTGAAATTATGCTGGAGTTATTCATTTTATTTACTGTGGAGTATCCTGTTAAATGCACTCACCTCCAAGGCTTGGTAGGACCTCAGCGTACGTCTTGTATAGCAAAGGCAGTGCATCATGATTGATGTGTAAATGAGGTAGATGAGGAATAAAATCATTACCAACAAGAAACCCCATCAATATCCAGTCATCAATTATTCGTTCAAGGTCATATTCAAAACAAATCTTGTCCTGCCAATTGAAGTCAACAGGAAGTCATTTATTTAAGGATGATCAAAGTTCTGAAGAGGTTTTGACAGTTTAACACACAGAATTGGGTTGAATTGGCATATTACTGCAAGTAGAAAAATTGTTCGTTCTCAGCAAGGCCAACTCTAAAGGCCAATTATTTAATGGTATGCTTAGCATAACAGCTAAAGAACTGATGGGAAAATGGTTTTAATGGTTTCAACGGTTCTCTGGCTTGTTATTAAATTGAGCAATATAATCACTATCATTGCCAATTCTTGAAAACTCTAAAACCCAGAACCAGCAAGATGATAAGTGGGAACCAACTGTTTCTCCAGTGATGAAGGGAAGAAACAATGTTATCTGAGTTATCCTGAGGCAAATCTCAAATCCCCAAGGAGTTGGCTTGTGACAACTTATGGAAAGGTATAGGGAGAATTGAAATGGCTGCATTTGCTGACACTTGGGACATGTGTAATAGCAGCAAAATCTCTGAAAATGTTTAAATATAGAATGATAAAAACTCTAACAAACACTTAAAAACGAAAAATTAATGAAATATTTAGAAAATTTAAAAAACTATTAAAGTAAAATTTTAATTTATTTTTAAAAAGTCATCTCTATATTGCAAGATCAGAGATGAGTGTTTAGAGTCAGAATTTATCATCAGATAGTTGGAGTCAGCAGACACTTTCAATTGAAACAAACAATTTAGCCTTGCAGCTATGAGTAATGCATGAACCAGGTGATGAAAATATGCAATGCTCAAACAGGAAAACAGACCACATTTTAGGAAGGATATGAAGGCATTGATATGAAGATCGATATAATTACATGTCAAAAATTTGTAGGAGCTCAAAGTGAGAAATTCATTCAAAATGATTTCCTTTGAAAAATGCTAAGAACACAAATTAACCTTATTCCCAAAGAGTAACCATCTTTCATCATTCATATATATTCAAAAACAGAACCATGAACCCAGATCACTTTATGGGTTAAAGGTCAACCTAAGTTAGGCTTATGCAACTGGTAATGCACAGCTATAGAGTAGCACTGGCAGAAGCTATGGTAAAGTTGCAAATAATTTAAGTTCCTTTAAAAATAAACATTTAAGATCATTCATATTCACAGTTCATCACATTTTAAATTAGATAAGATGAACAGAGTCATTAAAGTGCCAGTTCTTAGTGCATCTTATTGCAAGGTATATTTACCTGCATAATCCTGTCGCTCAGTTTGGTTTTGTTCCCCACCTTTGTCATCATGATGCTGCTCAGAGAAAATCTGTATAGATTTTTTGTTGAAGCACCTTTAGGAGGGTATTAGGAAACAGCCAGGGACTGCAGGCACCAGAGGTTATGGGCAGCAAACTAAGTTCCTAACACCACCAGAAAGGGACATTACACATCATGCCTCTGAACCTCTCTGATCAACAGATTGGCAGCTTAATGATACATGAAGAAGGGAGATGAAAGCAAAACTGATCGCCACATCACTGACACTTATACCATTATATGGCAATTTAGCACTGACATTTTCTTGAAAAAACATTCAATTTCCAAATACTGACCCGTACAGATGAAAACTCATAGTTAATATACTCTCTCATTAGGGACAGGTGCAATAAGTGAAACGTAGTTTCTTCAACAGCAGTAATCCTGAAACAAGCATAAATGCAATTAACAATGTTTTTAAAATCAAACTCAACATATTGAAGAATTAATTAGGTCCTGCAATATCAGGAATACAGAAGTACATTGAGCTTTTTTTTTTAATTTTAGCTGCGCAGTAATAGGTTCACCATTGTCAGAATACTATTAGACATGCTTTGAGAAGTAAGGTAAACTGATAAAGAAAACACCAAGGAAGAGGGAAAAAAATTGAAGAAATTGCACAGTTCTAAAGACAGGACCAGAATAATCTTTATTACAAGTCTGAAGGACTCTATTAAATAAAAGAAAAATAACCTACCTTTTCTGTGATTTCCTGCCACCAAATCGAACTTCTTCCCTCAAAAGGGAAAAATTTGGTTCATGGCTTGTTAATCCAAGCATAATCTTCAGTAAACACAAATATTATTAATTTAGCTGCACAATTATTTCTTTAAAACTGCTTTTAATCACGATCAAAAGCCTTATCCTGACCGCAGTGACATTATGCAAAAACAAAAAGTATCAATAACCATGTACTCCTGCAAAGTAACATTTTCAAAAATTAGGTATAATGATTTTATATTATCTTTTAAAACAAAAGCAATTATCCAATATTGAAAAGTAACAATAATAACATTAAGTTGTTTCTCTTGAAGTCCTCAAGAAGTGACAGCAGAACACCAAATTTTATCAGACACTGGTACAGTCATCCTATTGTGGATGGGTAACCACCGGCAGATCAGATGCTTCCGACCCTAAAATGAAGCATCACTTTGGCCAATTTCTTCAGCTATCAGCTATATGATGGTTATGGAAATCCCAACAGAGAGAAATCAATGGAAAAATGTCCTCTCAGGAAACTGAACAGACCAATTGTAATTTCTGCAGTAAAATAGTATCAATAACTTAAATTCTCCTTATCTTGTGAATATCACAATTTAGAAAGAACTATTCAAGGATTTTGTTCATAATATAATCATTCAGGAAAAACAAAACATTGCAAAGCGTAATAAACCCAACCATCTGTTTTTTGGAGTGTCTTTAGTAAAACTGAATATACTTAATTTATTCTATAGTTTCTACAGTTTTGTAAATTCGGAGTCAAGACCGAGTATAATCTTCAGGTGAAGTGGATGAAAGACAGAAAGAAAGTTAGAGTGGTGGGGTAAGAGGAGATAAGAAGAGAGCTGGGAAGAGAGAAGTACCATGCTCTTTAAAAAAAAAATAGAAATCACAAGATTAAACAACTTTTCCTTCCCAACAACATTTTGTAATACATACTAAATCAGCATCCAGTCCATACAGACAGTGTCTCGTATTGGGATCATGATCAGGTTTTCTTGTTTCAGCTCTAATAAATTCCATGATTTTGTGTTCTCCCTCGCCTGGGGTCTAACAATAGAAACAGGATATTATAATGCAGAAATACATATTTAAATCAATAGTCACATACTGTAATTCTATTTATTAATCTCACTTGCTGTTTGGAAAAGAACTGCTGATAAACTTCAACCATTTAACAATCAAAAACCAAAGGACTGAATGTCATACAATGTTGATTGTCTGTCCTTCCAACATAGGAAAAGTTTTGTATTGAATCCATGTTTCAAAAATATAAAACAAAGAGCACCTACTTACATATTCATGAATATAGGTTAACATTTTACACCAAGAAACAGAAAAACAAATAAATATATTTCTGAACACAAATTATTTGCACAAAACACAGTGACACAATATTTTGCAACAACACCAATTATATAATTCGTAAAATCATTCCTCTCAATTTGTAAACAGGATTTCAATTGATTACAAGTGTAGAATAAAAGGAAGAGCACAGGAAGTTGTAATAATGAAAAATTCATTGCATACATTTGTTCAGCTTTCCAGCATAATTTTCTACGTTACATATTCTGATTCCTAATGCATTTTTAAGCAAAGCTGCATTCTGGCAAGATTCCTTCAGAAATTAGGATCTGCCAGTCTATTCACATGGCAATTTAGAAAAGTGCTTTTTATTCTCCAATGAAGTATTAACTTGAGAAAAGAGACAATTTTGAAGTAGTTTGCTTTTGAATACCTCGTGACCCGACAGGTACACAGCCACACCTTCCCAGGATTTATCTGTTGAAATCTTCGAGTTTATAAAATATTTTAGCTGCTCATGTAACCTGGCCATAAAAGCAGTACCTAAAATAGAACATACAAAAACAATTAAAAGTCCTTTTTGCATAACTAGACATAGAACAAGAAAAAAAATCAATCATTCCAGTGTTACAAGTCCATGACTCTCATTTATATAACCAATACCAGAACAAAAGTAGGGCATTTTAATGCTTTTTGAAGAGTAAGAAGCAGGGCAAAAGCTGACAACTTGAGTCTTAGGGTCCACAAGATGAACCACAAAAAACACGCTGTTTCAATGCAAAGCAAGAAGTCCTCATCTCAGCTTGCCCCTCCTTCAGCAAAGAAAGCAAACGCAATGACTAAAATGGGAAAATACAGAAACAAAACATAAATAGTTTGAACATCTGCCTATGCACGTTTTCAACCTTGTGTGGTAGAGTGGCAGAGGACGTCTGAAATATGCACCTTTCAGATCTCTTATCTGTAGGCTGTCACTCTAATATCCTGAAGTAGTATCACATATCAGTTGCACACAAACCACTCATCATCACTGGCAACCAATGAAGAATCTAAGAGCGGAATTCTACTATCATAGAGTCAAGTTGAATAGTGATACTTCAATATTATGGCACTTACTTTAAAGTAAGACACACACATTTGATGCCTCAAACACTGTCACAGTAAAGACTACAAATGCTTAGAGGGTCTGGTAGTATCCACGAAGAGACAGTGTGTGTTTAGGTTAATAAACAGTTAGAGTAAGATTTTAGAGTCCATTGTGAAGGATGTGATTTCTGAATACTTAGAACTGCATGGTAAAATAGAGCAAAGTCAGCATGGCTTCATCAAGGGGAAGTTATGCCTGACAAATCTGCTAGAATTCTTTGAGGAAGTGACGATCAGGTTAGACCAAGGAGAGCCAATGGATGGTATTGATATGGACTTCCAGAAGGCCTTTGACAAGGTGCCGCACAGGAGGCCCATGGTGTTAGAGGCAAGGTACTAGCACGGAGAGAAGATTGGTTCTCTGGCAGAAAGCAGAGTGGGGATAAAAGGGTCCTTCTCGGATGGCAGCCTGTGACAGCGGTGTTCCATAAGGGTCAGTGTTGGGACCATAACTTTTCACTTCATATATTAATGATCTAGATGAAGGAACTGAGGGCATTCTGGCTAAGTTTGCAGACGATACAAAGATCGGTAGAGGGACAGGTATTACTGAGGAGGCGGGGAGGCTGCAGAAGGATTTGAACAGGTTAGGAGAGTGGGCAAAGAAGTGGCAGATGGAATACAACACGGGAAAGTGTGAGGTCATGCACTTTGGTAAGAAGAATAGAGGTATGGACTATTTTCTAAATAGGCAGAAAATTCAGAAGTCTGAAGCACAAAGAGACTTGGGAGTTCTAGTCCAGGATTCTCTCAAGATAAACTTGCAGGTTGAGTCAGGAGTTAGGAAGGCAAATGCAACTGTGGCAGTTATTTTAACTTGAACATAAAAGCAGGGATGTACTTCTGAAGCTCTAAGGCTCTGGTCAGGCCACATTTGGAGTATTGTGTGCAGTTTTGGGCCTCATATCTCAGGAAACAGATGTACTGGCCTTGGAGTGGCCTCAGAGGAGGTTCACGAGATGGTCCCAGGAATAAAAAGCTTAACATATGAGGAATGTTTGACGACTCTGGGTCTATACTCGATAGAGTTAGAAGGATGAAGGGGGATCTAATTGAAACTTACAGAATACTGAATGGACAGAGTCGATGTTGGGAAGATGTTTCCATTGGTAGGAGAAATTAGGACTCGAGGGCACAGCCTTAGGGTAAAGGGAAGACCTTTTAGATCAGAGCGAAGGAGAAACTTCTTCAGCCAGAGAGTGGTGAATCTATGGAATTCACTACCACAGAAGGCTGTGGAGGCCAGGCCATTGAGTATATTTAAGACAGAGATAGATAGGTTCTTGATTGTCAAGGGGATCGAGGGTTACGGGGAGAAAACAGAAGAATGGGATTGAGAAACTTATCAGCCATGATTGAATGGTGGAGCAGACTTGATGGGCTGAATGACCTAATTTCTGCTCCTATGTCTTATGGTTTATCCCATACATGAAAGGAAATTCCTGCATAAAGGGTACAGTGAAAGACGCTTATAAGGTGTGAGATAGAGGAAGCAATGACCTAATGGCATTATCATTGGACTATTATTTGACAGACACAGGTAATGTTCTGGGGAGAGATAGCAGGAACTGCAGATGCTGGAGAATCTGAGATAACAAGGTGTAGAGCTGGATGAACCCAGCAGGCCAAGCAGTATCAGAGGAGCAGGAAGGCTGACGTTTCGGG